TCAACATGCTGAGTTGTTTTCCAAGTTGTTCTATGACATTGTCTCTGATGTTAGGAATATGTTACAAGTAGAACATTTGGGTATGTAGGGTAGGAAAAATGGATGTTGATTCCTGATATGGGTTAACTACTGCTTCTAGATATAATGTTGTACTTGTTTCCATTTTCAGGAATCTCAACATCACATTTTTTGCACTTATCAATGCTTCACCCATGTATACAAGTAAGCATACAATCATTGTTATTGGTTTTGTCAACAAAAATCATTGGGTTCAGGTAAAGTTGAAACCCGATTGCCCATTGCCTCCCGTCATTGATTGTTGGAGACAGAATTGTACTAATGATGCAAAAGCATGTGAATAAGCATATGCGGGACGCTTCAGACATTGGGAAGATTTGTGTAGGAAGTCATTTTAGTTTCTTTTTTATGCATATATGTATGACAATTATTTTATTTATATATTAAGTCGGTTAGCTATTTTAGCGTATAAATTATCCAAGAAAAAGTTATAAAAAAGAAGAAAAAAGCAACATTCAGTATTACAGGAAATTTCAAATTTCAGATTTTTTTTCAGTTATCGAAAATTTAAAGTTTCTGGTATTTACATTGTTGGCACTACTCGGAAATTTAAAATATTCGATACCGGATAATTTAAGTTTCCGGTATCAGACCTAAGTCACGGTAAAATTTGGTAAATTAACCAAAATTTATGATATTTTAATGAAATTTCTGATACGGAATTGTAAATTTTAATATTTTCGGTATTTAATGGGAACATTATAGTAAAAGTGCCTAATATGTAAAGATGACAGGCAGACCTAAACCCGTGGGGTCCACTCACACCCGAACCCGAGTCAACAGGGTGAAAATCCGAGTTGATTGGGTTCGAGTGCCACGTGATATTTTAGGTGCGGGTTCGAGCAGTGTAAAATCCGTGTCTGAAACCCGAAACCACACCCGCTTAGAGATGAAACATAAGTGCCCCTAAATATATATAAGTATAACAAATTAGGGTTTCACTTTCAAAAAGAAAATCAAACAAGGTTACTCTCTCCAATCTCAGACTCACGCAGTCACACGTATACACCCTTTTGTTCACCATCAACGTCCTTCATCACCCATTAGACGCATCCCCTCCGTCATTCCTCCAACAACAATCGCAACAACCTTTCTTTAGCCATCTGCACCACCATATTGATGCCAACCTCCCCATCCCGCAGTCAGCATCTCCACCGACCAGCAACAACCGTTTCGCCCTCCTGCTCACCTCCGACAGGATTACCACCAGCTAACATACAACCATTGTCACCCTTCATCAATCTCACCACCAACGGAAAACACAATAACACTACAACTGTCACCATCCCTTCATTTGTTCATCATCATCCGGTAACTATGATTTGGTTTAACTATGATTTGGTTGAAGTGATAATTTAAAAAATTTGTGTTGAATTTCTACTGGAATTGGTTTTGTTTATTTTTGTATCTAAAATTGGCATTTAATCTAAGAGATTGTGTATCTATAGCAGTATATACTAGGATGCTTTAATTTTTTAGGATACTTTAATTTTTTTATTGAGAGGGAGAATTGAGATTTAATGAAAGAGATTGTGTATCCATAGCAGTATATCTTTTATTTATTTATGTTGTGTCTTATGTTTCTTTGATGTGCTAATAATGTTGTACTTGATATCAATCTTGAGCTCTTACAATAAATATTGTCACAATTGTCCAGTTCCATTAAAGGAGTAACAAGAGTATCTAACAATAATGAAACTACTAAATTTTTTCCATTTTAACATATAATTAATTGGTCTAAATGGTAAGAAATTTATGCAACTCAAAAAAGGTTATTCCATTTTTTACTGTGATTGAATGTGTTTAGTGATGTTGTTTGTAATAGGTCAAATGGATCAAGTGAACACAACCCCAAAATCGGAAGGGACATCTAATCCTACACAAGAAAGTACATGTCCACCAACTCAGAAGGTATCTTCTAATCTGAGTCTGACACTTGATGTTGGGCAACAAGAACAAGAAGAAATTGATACAAGCTTAGAACCTACATCAAAGAAATTAATAAGTAATGTGTGAAAAGAATTTAAAAAGATGAAAGTGAATAGGCAAAATAAGGCTGAATACATCTGGTGTAAAAAACAACTTAGTGGCACTTCAAAGAATGGAACAAATCACTTGAAAGGACATCTCTTGAGTTGTATTCAAAAAAAGATCAAGAATAGAAACCATGACAAAGGACAACCATTTCTCCTGCCTACTATCTCAGAAGGAAAGCAAGAGTTGGAAATTGGAACTTATAATCTAGAAAATATAAAGAAGTTGATTGTTGAAGCTATTATTATGCACGATTATCCACTATCAATTTGTGGATCATGTTGGTCTTAGAAGAGTCTTTGTTGCTCTCCAACCATTGTTTAAAGTTCCTACTCGAAACACAATCAAGAAGGAGGTATTGAAAGTTTATGATTTTGAGAAAAAATATGCTATGAAGATGTTAGATAGCCATGAAGGAAAAGTAGCGATTACCACATATATGTGGACTTCAAGCAACCAAAAAAATGTATATGACAGTTACGGCTCACTATATTGATGGCTCGTGGACTTTACAGATTCAAATCTTGAGGTAACAAAGTTTATATTTTATAACTTAATTGTATCTTTTTTTTGTTCTTAATGACAATATGATTGAGTGTAAATATTATTATGCTAGGATTTGACTATGGGCTGCTGAGAGTAATGGTATGTCATTGTCAAATAATCTTTACTTTCTACCTTAATTTTCTTGTTATATAATGTATTGCTACTTTGGTAAGCCAACTAATTATTTTTTGTTATTCTACATGTGATATATATATATATATATATATATATATATATATATATATATATATATATATATATATATATATATATATATGAATTTCTAGAGTTGCAGAAGAAATTGTTATTGTGTTGAATGAAATGGAGTCTGACGATGAAGGTATTTTGTATTTCATTTGATGTAAAAGTTTTAAGCTTTGGTGTTTTATTTAACTTCAATTTACTTCTTAATATAGTTGAATTGATCGAAAGTTGTTTGGGTTATCATTTTGAAAATTAGAAGATGTTGTTTTTATGCTTTAACATGGTGAGCGTTGTTGTTTCTATCTTCCAATCTCATATCTTTCTCAACCGAAAAGAAACATCTTTTTATCAATGTGTTTTGAAAACTCTTAATTAAGCAAATGGTTGTCTCGATAATTACTGAACATATTAATATTGTTGTTGGATGTTCTGTTGAATCAGTACTTATTAATATTATTTTGTTAACATATTAATATATGTATTGAGCATTGTTTTGTTATTGTGTATATAAGTACCGATTTAATTAGTTATTGAGCATGTTCTGATTTAAGTACTTAATAATAATATATTAGTTATTGAGCATGTTATTGAGCATGTTCTGTTAATTAGTTGTAAATCAAGATATTAGTTGTTGTAAAATTCTTCATTTTTTCTGATTTAATTCTGTCCATGTGAGGTACTGATTCTTGTTCATTATAATTAATGGCTAATATACTAGATATGTATAGAACTACATGTTAGTTAGTTTTGTTAGCAGAAATGCAATAGTTTTGTTTCTCATTGGAGGGTTTAGCATGAAGTTGTTCTTCTAAATTGTTTGATGTCTAACATGTGACTTAAGATGTAACTGATTTATAACAACTAGCTTGTTTTATCTTCCAAATAATAGGAATTTTATAGATTTTTGTATTACCTAACTCTAATATCTCCATTATTCTTATTCTCAATGAGATTTTGGTATTGTCTAACTCTAATATCTCCATTATTCTTATTCTCAATGATTAATAACCATTTACTTAATGTGAACAAAACAGACTTGTCTAGTTGAGAGAACTTGTTTATAGAATGTTTGTGATTGAATTTACTTAGAGACTATGTTACCATGTTATTGTTCGAAAGTTGAAATTTGATTGTAGACTTTAATTTTAATTGTAATATTAAGATGTTGAAGACTATGTTAAGATGCTTGTGATTGAATTTCCTTGGAGACTATATTAAGACCTTAATTTTAATTGCAATTTTTTTGAGAGACTCTTATGGAATTCTTGTACTTTAAATTTCAATATTACTGTTGTATTTTTTGCTGCAGACTCGGGTATGAGTGAAAAAATCCGAACCCAACGAGTGTGGACGTGTGTGTTACTTTGCCATCCGAATAACTTTTGGATTTAGATTTGAATAATGATTTCGGATGCAAATTTGAATAGTGTAAAACTCGCACCCGACCCTACCTGTTACCATCCCTATTAATATGAAAGGGTGTCATATGTGAAAGTGACAAGTTAAATCCTTATGAACTTGCAAATGATCATGACCACCCTTCCCGGTCTTAGCTTCTAAGTTTGGCCCAAGGCAATGACGTCAGAAGAGAAAAGACATTATCCCTAGTCTTATTCATTAAGCAATTTGGGTGTTAGAATGTTTGCAAAAACCACTTCCTTCATCTCTTCAAGCCAAGAAGAAATCTTCGAAAACAAAATGTCACTAAACATTGTCATCTTATCAATCTCCAACTTGCCACTAAAATATTTTGGTCCAAGCAATATCACATTCGATTGTAGTTCGTCAAATATGCAAGTCAATTCATCTTGTTTAAAATTGAAATTATTCTTTCATTGGTAAAAAACAAAGTATTTTTCAATAAAGATATAACCTATTTAAAATTATTAATAGAAATTGAGTTCACCACGCTGGCAATGACTATTACCTAGCATAATTAGAACTGCACATAACAGCATAAAGTTGGTTAGTTGCCTACTTGAAATAAGTTAAAATAATCTCTCATCCTCCCCAACTTTTCTCATATACATTGGAAGAATTAGAGTTATGTTCTGGACTTCTATACACACATGGGGCATATCGCAAGTCAGACCCATTAAATCATCCATGCTACAAAATTTTACCAATTTTCCGTCGTTTCAAGAATGCAAACTTTTCAATTTTCTGAATCTCAAAGCCTTCCACACTCTTTCTTTCCTAATCTTTTTTGAATTTAATTCTTTCTGAAGCTTCCGATTTCTGTATTTTTTGCGGTTATTCAACCATCTGGAATAATCTTTTCCCTCGCTGCAGTCATGAAAGTCTGCAAGTTCAGCATAATCAGGTACTCTTTTGCGTAACATGCAATCAAGAAACCTTTCCCCATTACAGGTCTTCTCAGATTCATCCGCAACTAAGGAATTTGATCTGAAAAACATAAGATGGTTCAGAGTTGTAAGACCACAAGATAGCATCAAAGAGCAATGGCATTGAAATTCAACATTGAACAGCTTTACGAGAGTTCTATTTACACAACACTACTGTACTTTATTACAAAAATTTGGATCATGGCAGCTTATTCCCTCATGGCATTAAAATTCAATATTCAAGGCCTTTTTTAATACAATAAGATGGGTCTAAGCAGCAAGTGAGTTCCTTTCTTCTAGGAGTGGTAATCAATGTGTCAAACTATTTCTCGCCACTTTCTTTGAATCTATGAGAAGAATGCAAAAACTAAAATTAAAAAGCAGTCTGCTTTTTTTCTATTGCTGCAGCTGCTCTGTACCAACTAGGAGAAAGCCAAAGCCCGTCTCTCTTTGCTATTTCTCATTCGAAATATGCATAAGTACCACATTTTTGAATAACAAAATTCTCTTCTTCATTCTTTAACTAGTGTATACCACTTTATCATAACAAGGTTTATGCAATTTATATGATTGGTTGCATAAAGATGCTTTTCTGCAGGGCAGATAAAAGTTAGGGAGTACAGGTTGCCTCATTACAAAGTTATAGCGGTTGCATCAAAGGGACAACTAGCAGAAATCAAACTCTAGACCATCGGTCCAGTTTGATCGTGCTGGAGCTAGCCTCATTAGTTAATTGTATAATGCTAGTTATGGCAGGCAGATGATAAAATCTCAAAATCATGGATGATTCAGCATAAAAAAGAGAGAGGTAAGTAATTTCAAAATTTAAACATTACCCCGAGTTCCAAGAATAGTGAATATGATATAATCCAATCAAATAAAAATACTTTGAATTTCTAAATATATTGTAACTTTATGAAAGAACAAGATTTCAAATTTAAAATAATAGAAGAAAAAAATCTAAACCCACAATTGTGTTCCCTTAGCACTTGCCAGTACCATTTGAGCAAGCCCGAGTGGCTGGAGGGAATTGATGATATGTAAATAGAAAATTAAGAATATGCAACTCACTTAGGATAGCATTTGTAAAGGTCATAAAGAGTTAAGACAAAATACATACCTTAAATTATATGTTTGGATTTTATGAAACTCTGCTGCAATTTTATATATAATTTGTTTACTTCTTGCCCCCTGCAACAATGCATCAATGATTTAAACATGAAATATAACTAAAATTTAATTTAAGTAGTGCACGAGAATTGAAGGCACAACTGACCTTTCCACTTTCATGCAACAAAATTTCAGATGAACAAGAATGCAATGGCGGACCCTTGAATGACCCTATATCAACTAAATCTCCCTCTTCGAAAATAAACATAGACATCAGTGCCATAATTACAGATATACACCCCTTTGCTAACACATCAAAACCATTGTAAAAACTTAGAGATAACAAGCCTGAAAAGTGCACAAACATTGACTTGGAGACTTGGTAATTTGTTTGCTGATTTTTCAACATATTGTGCAGCAAGGTCTGAATGGGTAAACAAAACTTAAATTGTTGAAAAGGGTTGATGATGCTGTTCAAGAAATCATATTCATCATGCACAGAGGAACTTCCTGTGGTTTTCAGACAACCTGAATCACCACTCTTACTTAGACATTTAATTGCTTGTAGCAGTGAAACACTCGTTAACTTCAATATGGATGCAAGAAGATAAATATCTTCAGCACTAGTGTTTTTCTTTAAATACAATAAATCTCCAGCAGCATCTTGAGAAAAAGCTTGATGGATTATGTAATCTAAGGTTGAGGCAGCCTTACCCCGGCATGAATCAGCAAATATGTATTGTCTCCCTTTCATATATTCTATGTACTCAGTCAAAAGGTCAGCTTTTGTTTTAGATGACATTTTGCAACCGTAAGAGTCCAATGAACTATTTGATTTTGATAAGACTTGATTTAATTTGGTGTGTGTTCCTTCCTGAATATAAGATTCAAAAATTGGAAGACCTCTCTCAAACATGGTTCTATTATAGGCACAACTCAATTCGATGCAAAAACTATCCATTTGCAAGCTAGACACATGCTTAGAGTACAAGCTGACAGATTTTTGAAATGCCGCTAAGTAGTAGCTTATATCTAGAGTCAAATTCCCCGAAGATAAGCCAGAATCAATGACTTCAGAAACCAATGAAATTACATGTGCCTGGAACATCTTTGTCGCAGAATACACAACAGGGTCAAGCAGCAACACCATGGCACTGGCAATTCCAAGTTCATGAAATCTAAAATCTCCGTTCCAATGCAAACATAATCTACCGATGAAATTCTCAAATGCTTTCTCATTAGAAAATGACAGGATAACATGCGTAGATATCACCTCCAAGACAACAGCAATATCTCCAGGAGAAAATTGGCACACAAAAGTCTTTTCACAGTCGGAAGAGACTGAATCAGCAGTCATAAGATACCTTCTCAATGATTGATGTCTTAAAAGTTCATCTGCAAATACCTTGAATAACATTTTCGAGTTTAGAATCATGAAAACAACTCCAGTATGAATCCTATACACATTTCTACATGGAAGATCATATAAAATACATAAAACCATCTTCTTATTTTCTCACCTTTCCCAATTTCTCTCACATTCATTGTAGCTCCAAAAACTAAAAGACTTGAACAACATAATTACTAGTATAAAATGTATTACTAAACCCTAAATCCTAAACCCTAAAAACTAATTGAATGCTAACTTTTGAAAACAAGAATATTAATTGAAGCATAAAGCTAAATAATCATATCAACAAAAGAAATATAGTAATAAACACACCTCAAGCACGGCACGGAGAAACGGACGGCAAGAATCAGAAAATTCCATGTGAACGTCAGAGACAAAGTTACGACAGAGCAGGACCGTGGTTCCATCGTCGAGTTGAGTGACATCGACGAAGAGGAACGACTTGAGGATTCGAAGAATGCAGCAGCAGTTGTTGGTGAAGAACTTATCGTCGGAGTAGGGAAGTGTCAGAACAACAAGAGAGCGGCGAAGAATGACAGAAAGATGTTCAACGAGTGGCCACAACCGTGAATCCGGAGATGGAATGGATTTAGGCTCGGGCGCATGGTTATGCAGAGGGAGAGCGGAGAAAAATTCGTGGAACTTTAACAAAAGTTGGTCGAAGAGGGTTTCGCGGAGAGTGGTGGTGGTGGTTGAGGTGGAGAGTGAGTGGTATAAACTTTTAGCGTCGTCCATTAGGGTTCCGTCAACAGAGAGTGAGTGGTGGTTGCGATTTTTTTCTTTGATGAGGTTGACGGCTAAGACTTGCACGGCGGAGCCGAGACGAAAAAGAAGCGGGTCAAGGTAGGATCATTTATTAATGAAAAATATGAGAAATTTTTGTTTGAATTTTTTTGAATAACGGCTTATATATTAAACAAAAAGAAGCATTATAAAACACCTCATCAAAATGAAGAAAAACTTTTAAAAAAAAGAAGATTTTTTTAGTCTATTTTATACAAAGTTCTTCCTAATTTCTATGGAAATAAACTCAAAAATAGTGAGAGAAGAATTTGACAGCCTTATATTTGCTAACAAGTTGGTTCAAGAATTTCTCTTTTTACGAACGTGAGAAATGACAAGTGAAAAGATTTATGTGTATAAAGTAAGTTATACAAGAAAATCATTGATTTTTGAAATGTCAAACAATAAGAGAAGGACCACGGAAAGTTTGCACCATAATTAACGGAATTCGTAAGCTTGCACCATATTAATAGAATTTATTTTTAATCAAAGTTTCGACTAACCTTTATCCATTGCAATCATCGTGGCATTCACTACTACAGTAAATTCGACAAGATAAGAAGGCGATAAAGACACCTTATTTAGAACAAAATTACTCAGGTGGTCTCTAAATATTCCACCACAACCAACAGGAAGAGAATTATATTGATAAGCATCGTCATAATTGTATTTTGTCCAACCAATAGGCGGAGGAAGCCAAAGCACCTCCTTGATAACATGAGCTCTATGAGGCTTAACCACTATATCAAGGGCTTTCAAGATCTTGAAATCATCCGTTGAGGAGGAGGTCGTACATTTGATGTTCGAGCTAGAAAGAGCAACTGAGCTTTAATCTTGTGAATGGTAAACCTCACCCTGGGAAAACTTCACCCGTGAATCTCTCAAAGTTTCTAGCTTCCCACAGATTGGTTAGAATGTAAATAATAATAACTTTTAGCAGAAGAGAGCATTGATTAGATCTATTATAATATAAGTTATCCGTAAATCTTCTAATAATTGAGGAGGATTAGAAATGTTGATACAATTATAGAACTAGAGCCAAAAATTTCCTAAAAAATGGACAGTCAAAAAACATGTGTTTGGTAGTTTCAGCATTAGATTTGCAAATACTACATCTGAATGTGATGTAGTAACCTTTGTGCATCAGTTTGTCATCAGTTGGCACCTTGTCAAGCATTAATTTTCAGATAAAAATGGACTTATATGGAGCAATATCTTTGCACCAAATCACTTTAGCCAAAATGAGAAGGATAGAAGGAGATTTAAAGTGATAAGCTTGTTTCAAAGAAAGGCTACTCAAACTGCACAAAGGCCAAACTAAGGAATCTTCCAGGTCCGAAAAAGAACACGGGCTTGCGTTAATTCTTTGTTGAATGAAAGGAAAATGAGTATGCCAATCCGCAGGAAAAGACCATGCACCATTGCTTATGAAATCATCCACCTTTGAGTTGAGAGAAATACCAAGTTCTGTGAGAAAATCAGTGCAGATTTCTAACAGAAAAGGAGAGTCACATCATGCATCTTTCCAGAAGAGAATAGACTTACTATTGCCTAAGGACCAGCAAGAATACATTTTTACAGCGCATAATTCCAATCTGACTGAGGACCACATAGAGGAGAAGATATGATGTTTAATAAGACCATAGAAGTTGAAGACTCTACCTTAGATAATGTTTTCCCAATCTTCTTTGCTTTTTAAAAGATTCCAAGCAAGCTTTAAATTTGTTGCCTCATTCAACTTTAAGAGAGACCTCTGACCCAAACCGCCATGCGCCTGCGACCTACACATTTTATCCCAAGCCACTAGCACAAGCTTCCTTTTAGAGATTACACCACTCCAGATGAAATTCTTTGCTTTCTTTTCAATTTCTTTAAGCAAACTGATAGGCCAAAAGTAGCAAGAAATTGTATGAATCAACATGCTTTGAATTATTAATTTGACAAGCAGAAACCCTTCCTGTCAACCATTCTTTGTTGTTCCAATTTAAGTGATGCCATATGAGATTTTTTTAGTATCACGTAGAGTCTTTAAATAATTTATATTTTATAACATTATTGGCTTAAAATATTATTTTTAATTCATTATTTTTTTTTAAAGACAAAATTCAATTGTCTCTAAACTTTTGCTAAAGCCTTAATCTGTGTATAATAAATATTTTTATTAAAAATCTAAGATTTTAAAATGAGCATATATGTACAAGTGTTATGTGAAATAGTAGAATGTAACATGTCTAAGTCTTATATTAAATTTTTTTTTTATATATTTTTTTTATATTTTACTTTATGTCATTGCAAATTTTAGTCAAAATTAGTGTATTTTATTTATAATTTAATTTGGAAGTTATGGAGTTATAACAACACCTTTAAAGTTATTTCACTATGTTGTATTCTAAATTTTATCTTGAATTTTTCTCATTCACATTCATATATCAAATAAACTTTTTATTTTTTTTGCATATTTACCTGCATTTTATATTTACTTTTGATTTGAATTTTTATCTATATTTTTTCTCTATATTAATAATTAGATTTGTATCTTTAGTATTATTATTATTATAAAAATATCAAAAGAAAAATATATTGGTTTAAGTTTTATAATAAAATTATTTAGTTTTTACTATTCTTTTATCATTTAGTTTTTATTTCATTTTGTAAATATCTCACGAAATATCTTTACGAAGAGTTTATTGGTCTTTGTGTAAGACCTAATTTGTGGATAAGTTTTTTTTTTTTTTTTGTGTTGGTATAATACTATTTGTAATGGAGGTGTTGAATAAATTTTTCAATAGTTGAATTGCTCAAATGGATTGTTGAATAAGATGTTGAATGTGATATGAATTAATTTTTGTTGAAAATATTCAACATGTTGAATGAGAAATGAGTGGGGGGCACTTATAATACTTTGCAAAATATAATTGATTGTTGTGATTGTTTATATTTTTATCTCACCTAAATTATTTGGAGTCAATTATTTTATAGAAAATCAATTTTTTATTTATTTTTATTTTCACCAAAATTCATCATTTTTTTTGTCTATAAATAGAGCTTTGGTTCATTTGATTTGGACAAAGAAAAAATCTATTTTTTCTCTTTAATTTTTCTATTTAGCCTCCAATAAATTATTGTTTGTAGCTTTAAATAATTTTTTTAGTGAAATAAATCCCAACAATAACCCTCTTACAATTAAAAAAACAAAAAACATAAAAAAGAAAATAAAAATATGAAATAAAAGTGGTGGAGTAAGGTGTTGAATTTTATTAAACAAAACCATTGTATTGAGTAAAAGTTGAATGAGTGTTGAATTATTAAGTGGAAGAGAGAGAAGATGATCTGAAGTATAAAAAATGGGAAAAATAAGTGTTGAATAATTTTGCCATTATAGATAGTCTAAGCGGGAGAACGAAGTTGCGTTGGAGGGAGAAGAAAAACGTGTTTTCCTTTAATAAAATACTCCCAACATTCTCCTCCATCGACAGCGCATAAATCCTCCGTCATCTTCAAATCCATATACTACCCTTCATCTTTCAATTCATTCTTGTCACCATCATCTACTACCGTCGTCACTCTCCACTATCCACCACTTCCTCCTTCTTCCAACAACCGTTATCACCTTTTCTATCATTGATTCATCATCATCGACTCACCATCACTTCCGTCGTCACATACTCCCTCATACTCCCTTTCACCTGGAACCTTCTTCTCACGGTTACCGCCATCTCAACATCATCATCGCATGTTCCCTCCTTTAACAACCATCGCAACTCATTCGTCACCATCATTGTCAACACACTGGTCCATCTTCATACTCCATTGTTTAATCTTCCCAGTCGTGGAACTTCTTCAGCGCTCCAGCTGGTGAACATCTTCAATGAAAATTCACAACTCCATCACTGTTTAACTTCCACAACACGTCGACAACATCATCAACTTCATCAATTCGACACAACAACATTATCCGTTCGGTCCCTCTATCCAGCCTCAAGTTAGTAAGTTTTAACTCCATTTCAATCGCGTTAGTTAAGTAAAACTTGTGATAAATCCTATTTAGTTTGATCTTGTGATAGCCTCTATGAAAAAATTGTTGATATGTTCATATTGTGAAGGCTTTGAGTTTCTCTAAGGACATGGATTTAGTAATTTTGAAGTTACCATTTTTGAATATGTGTCATTGTATATTAGTTTGGTGATATCTCAACTTTATTTTCCTTTTTAATATGAAGTTAAAAAATGGTGTAAGTTTTTTATCACATGGTTGACGTTGTCGTTTATATTAGATATTTGGGTATGTGGAAGAATTGTTGGTTCTCTTTGGTAAACATGATTTGTAAGCATATATTTGCTTACGAAATTTTTGTTAAGTATATATCTGCTAGTAAATTATTTGCTAGTGATCCCTTAGCATGAATTTTGCTAGTTAAATCTTTGGATGTTCACACATAAATTTAGAGTCTAGTAGTTAGTGTGAAAGTTCCTTAATATCCGCAGAGATCAACACCTTGTGTTATGATTTTTTGTATCATAAAATGCTAATGTGATTCATGAACTAAAATTTTCAAGTGTCTATTTGTTTCAATATGTATTTTATGGTACAATTTGGTAGTGTTTTGGTTGGTAAACTCGGTTATGGTTTTGTGGTTGTTTCTTTGATTTGTTTGAACACGTTTGTGATGAATTTTACTAGCGTTAATAGGTTAATTGGTGGCTGCTCGGATTTGGTTTGGTTGACCTTAGTTCGCTTTGAAATTGATTTTTCTTGTTTTGATTTTGAATTGAATAATGGCATGAATCTCTGACTTTTTGTTTCCATTGTGAATTGATATTCATGAATAATTGTTGTGTTACTTGATGTTCATTTAATTGTTCATGTACATTATGCAAATTTCATCTTTGATTCTATTTTCAATTCTCTTGTGAATACTAACTTATTTGTCGGTTGATGTAAGCAATCAAAGTGATTCAAGCTTCTATATATTTCCATCTCTACAATTCCACTTTCTATTTACACTTTAACATATTAGTTCTATATCATTTTAATTAATTGATGTTTGTTAATTAAAATTGATTAGTTTACTAATATATTTTTCTTAACTTGATTAATTAGTTTAATTGATGTCTAACTAATAGATTCTTTCCTTTCTTTATTTTCATCCCCATTCGGTCAAATGTATCCCAATTCCCTGTTGTGTTATAAATAATTTATTGCTTTCTCTTTTATCTTCTAATCCTCATTCATAAACAATGTATCCCTCTTCCCTAATGTTTGTAATAATTTAGTTTGCATTTACTCAATTATTCCATCATCCTTTGCATGTGCACAACTAAAAAACATTTTTCAAACTAATAAATTGTGAATAATTTTAAACTCATAAGTCGAGAAAGCTTGTAAAAGTCGCAATGACCACACAAGCACCCTTACACGCTGGTTCCTAGGCATTCTTACAGTATGAACTATTCGATCAATTGTTCCAATTGGTCGTCTAGAGGCTAGTTCACTTTGCTAGCTTACACGTAGAAACTAGGACATGTGCTTTACAATTTATACTTGTGTGGGCCGCTATGTATGAGCTTTTATCGATTTATTTTCTATACTTTCATGTTATTCGCAATTATTCACTTCTCTTCCATCTCTCGCACCTTGGTCCACATACTAAGTTCTTCCATTAGGGTTTCATAGTAGAGAGTAGGCTTGGATATTCTCTCAAGGTTAATCAAGTCACACGGCTTGGTTAATCATAACCCGAATCAATCACTTTTGGTCCATATACCAAATTTTCTATGCAAAAGGGTCTCATGGTAGAGGGTAGGCACGTGCCTACACTCTCGAGTTTGATCAAAACTAGCCACGTGGCTTGAATCGATCAATCATAACCCGAATCATTTCTTTCTTAATCCATTCACCAGGCTTAATAAAAATCATCCAAACATCAATCATTTTCACCATAAATCTTGGTCCAACGCCAAGTGATTCTTATTTTTATGACCTTTCATAATAAAATTCTAAACCTCGATCCAACGTGGAGTGCACTTTCTCAAACAAATAAGGGTCTCATGGTAGTGGGTAGCACGTTCCTATTCACTCGAGGTTAATCGTGTGAGTCACTTGGCTTGTATTGATTAATCATATCCTGATTAAAATATCTAAATGAAAGGAATAAGAAACTTCTCTTACACCTTCCCAACTTAATCAAGGACAAGTAACTTCGCTTGGACTCGATTCCTCACTTTTTCATAAAGAGGACTAAATGGGATAGTTAAGGTATCTACCTTTTATTTTCCCAAGTGTGTGGTTGGCTAAGAACATCCTTGGATATATCCAAGTGCTCGTGTCCTATAAAAATAATCCAACCTCATTCAAACAATTTCTCTGCTTGGCTTTTACACTTTAAAAGTTTTTTCGAAGGGTGATTTTCTGTCCATCTGTGACAATGAAGCAATGTTACTTACACATGTGAATGTTGAGTCTTTTCCACTCGAATATGATGATGGCAAGATTTCGTGCATAATCCAGACCCAGTCATCCATTCTTGTAGTGATGTAATCGTTCCATTATCCATGTTTCAGACAACAATGTTTCTGTTTGAATGTGATCGAGTATCTCTCACTAAAATGAACCAATCCACAAAGATTTGTTACCTGAACTACGAAGCTCTAATTTTTCTATTTCACTATAGGGATACATAGGCACTCAATTGAGGCGAGAAAAATAATAAAAAACAAAAACATTTCCCCTTTCTTCCTTTTCTCCTTTCTCTCATTCTCTTTAGAAGATAGCAAAGATACACACTAACATACGAACACAAAGTAACTAAATGGGTACCACCGAGTATGATGGATGTGAGGGGTGCTAATACATTTCCCTTGCATAACCGACTCCTGAACCCTCTCTTTAGTCTCATAGACTATTTCTTTTCTCTTGTGGGTTTTATTCGATATTTTCCCTTTCCTTTTTAAAATAAATAAATCTCAGTGGCGACTTCATTGATCGAATATTTTTCGAGACGCCACACACTAGCATCAATTTGGACTTCTAGGAATTTAACCTCTTAATAATAAATTTGCCCCCACCACCCCGAGTCATCACTACCTTTACAATGATCCAAATCTTCAACCAAATTCCCCCCTCCAATGACTTTTTTCCTCACTCTAGGATTCAACACTAAAATGTGTAACAAAAACAAAATATCATATGCTTTTATAGATAATTAAACATAGTCATATTCACTTTCCAATATCATCACTAAAGTCGTGATAGAGGAAAAAACTCCAAAATAAATTGCTCTAATAGAACCTCAAGCTTAAGTAATTAATTTATCACCATTCTTTACATCTCCTCTTCCTCCACCATATAATCTTGTCTCTCTCATATGATTAAAGGAGAGTTTGATGACTACACATAAAAAAAATATAGGTTACTGTGAGTTTTTGGATTTTGAAACCTGATGTCACTACTGAGAACATCATAAAGATTATTTCCTCCATCACCACAGCTGGAAAGAAAGCAATGATGTATGAAACCATAATATTTTCACCAATTTTTCTTAATATTTCATTCTCTAAGTTTGAAAAAAAACCTTTTTCACGACCACCATGTTGCTCCTTGATTTTTCAATGCTCATCTTTGATTCTTACAGCTAGTAGACCTGATATCACCTTTGCTATTGGGATTTGTGCAAGATATCAAATTGAGCCAAAAACTAGTCACATCAATCAAGTGAAAAGGAATTTTAAGTACATCAATGGTACTAGTGACTATGGCATGTTATACTCTCATGGATCAAATTCCATGTTGGTAGGTGTTATACCTCAATTTTTGCCTCTAAGATCCCGCATCACTTTATATCATCATAATGCATCAAGATCACACATTAAGATTGGTTATCTCTTCTACTCTCTCTTATATTTAAGGTTGTTCTTGAGGGATCACCAAACACCTTGAATCGTGTATCTTGTATATATGTGTTTATATTTTACCGACCTCTAACCAAAATCCAAAAATATGTCTTGTTTATTTTTGTTTCTCTTAGAAGACATGGTTTCTGACCAAGAAGTTCAAGCGATGGTTCTCGAATAGGGTTGTGGGTTGTTCAGGCCAAAGATTGGTTCTTAGAGGCCTATTTTTTATAGTTGTGATCTATAATCTTAGGTCATACTATCCTCAAGATTCATTAAACATGTTTAATGCGGGTTTGGTTGCTTAATTCTCAAGACTCTTTGAGATAGGTTCATGTGTTTATTTCCATGCCTTCTTCGATGATTAATTTCAGGTTCTAACTAGTGCGAGCATGGTTCAATCAATATTTCATCATCTCAAGTTCATATGTGATTAAGAGTGCCTTGGGTTGTGGATAAAGATCAAGTTTGCAATTTGATTCAAAGTTGGTTTGATCAAAAGTCAACATTTGTAAGTTCAAGTTCAAATGAGCATTTGTTGCTCAAACTTTATGTTTGAATGTCCAAGTATGGTTGATTGGTTAGCCTGGGTCCAATACCCTTTGAGACTTGTTATTAAGAGGCTTTAATTTTATCAATCTTCTAATAAGTTCTCATTACTTTTGGTCCAAGACTACCATTCAATCATCATTGATCATCGTGTGGCTGTTAACCATTGACAATTAACTTCTAACACATTATAAATTAACTTTACTTATGCCTTTATCTTTATGCCTTTACTTTTATGCACTTTTATCTTTAAAATTTACATTTCATGCTATTTTCCTTTTGCTCACTTGAGCATTTATTTTTTATGTCATTTTATCTTTGCTCACTTGAGCTTTCT